AAAGAAAACATGGGATAATACCAGTTGTGTGATTGAATTATTATGTGCAAACTATTTGAATTGATGAAAAGCAATACAATATCTACTGGTAATACAAAAAAAAAATGTGCATGTCCCTATAAATAAGTTTTAAAGTCGGTATCTAATAAATTAAAATCCAGTATCAAAGTGAACCTTCTCTCCTTCATCCAGATCACGAATTTGATCCTCTCGTTTTACAGAGCACTTTTTATTCCTCATAACATCGCAGCCCTCTTTCCTTACATGGTGCCTACAGTTTTCAAGGTTGATCATCTGTCTCAGGAATGGATCCCCCACCCCCTCATGTTTTTCACATAATATCTGAACTGTTGATATTTCAACCACGTCCAACTATACTTAAACTCCATTTAGACACCACTGTGGGGAACAAATGACCTAAGCCTTGAACACATCACAAAGTTGCATTTATCATTATAATTATATAGATCATAGAATATGTGATTCTTTAACACTCAAACTGACAATGTTCTTCATCAGCAGTTTTCTGTGGTGATTTGTTGTGTCTTGCCTAGAACAGGGTTTCAGTGTGATACAATCTTTGAATTTGCATAAACAGTCAAACCTGGCTGTTAAGGCCACCCAAGGAAAGCACACAAAGTGGCCACTGTAGACAGGTAGCTTTTCTAGACAGGTTCTTTAACACACACTTCCTTCTAGAGGGATTCAAAATAGGTGGCCTCTATAGACAGGTGGTCTTCATAGAGAGGTGGCCACTAAAGCAGGTTTGACTGTACTCACCTTTGATAGCAAAAGAAGCTTGAGAGATGAGGCCATGTGTTCGGTAAAGATGAGCTTTATCAGAGCTTCTTGGATACCAGCATCCTGAACAGAAAAGCAAAATTCGACCTTATCTCACAAACCTTGTAGAACAAATCAAGTAGGATCACTGAACATCTGCTTAATCTAAGCAAATTTCTGACCATTAGGCCTACAGGATAGACTCAGAATCAGCCAATTCAAATTCCTAATTAAAGCATAAAAGGCCCAAGTGGCTCAACATATATTCTACTTCTAGACCTTGCCACACAACACTTATATGTCTCCACAAATATTGCCATAGGAGCAACGTATCGTGAATGACAGTAATGTCATTCTTGCAGGCAGCCAAGATAACGCATAATTTGTGAGACAAATACTATTTACATGTACTAATGAACTATATCCTCTACAAACAATCAGGGACCCGTTTCACAAAGCCTTTTTTCAATGACAAATGACAAAAATCAGTGACAAATCTGCTGATGACCAATCAAGCAAGGATTTCAGTAGCTTATAACAAACCGTCATTTGTCACTGATGACAAGTTTTGTGAAACGGGGACCACATCTGTTCATCTCTCGGAATTATTACATCACTCTCTTACCACAAAGACTTTAGAGACAGTTGGTCCCAGCTCACACAGGTTACACGTCAGCTTCATGCCTGCCTTGAGCTGCCTGATGTTGACCGCTAAGGTCTGCTTCATGGCTACCTGGTAGTCCACTGCCTCCAGGGTCCAGTGGATGATGGTGTCCAGAGTGTCTGGACCGAGGTGAGCCAGGCCAGGGCCGAGGTGGGAGGGGAGATCTTCAAGAGCAGACACCCATCTGTGGATGGGAGAGGGTTGAAGTGATAGCAGTCTGCATCTATGTAGTGCTTTAGATTAAAATCACATAAGTGCTTTACGTTTACTGGATTTCTATACACAATGGTCCATATCCGACTCAATTTAAATCCATGCTGGGTTAAAGCTGAGTCTAAATTAAGTCTAAAGTTTAATGAAGAAATTTTAACCGAGGTCTGAACTATCCCTTTCGTTGAAATGACTTTGTCGTTGTCAGGTTTGACTAAATTAGTAGATTACAGGTTTTAACATGTCAAGTACCATTCCCCTGAAACTATTTCTACAAAATGATGAATGTAAAGGTATATGATCAGTGTGATACAAGGAATTGCAGCGGCATTTTACCAGGTTCCTTTTTCTCTACCATGTATACGTAGCATTATCTCGTAAAGAGAAGAAGTATAGAAATCATTACAAATGCTTTTATCTATATGTTCTTCCCTTATCATCCTCTTGGTAAAAAAGATGGCATAAACACCGCACCTCTCAAAGCTTTCGAAGGCGACCCTTACTTTGCATTGTGATCCGAATCTTTGAATTCTTTGACTATATCCTGAATGGCAGAGGTTCCGATGGGTAGATCACCAGACTGGTCTTTACTTTGCATCTTCAGTTTCTCATTACTTGTCATGTCAAGGTCACTGAAAGTCTAGGAAAAAACAGGGGAATAGATTCATTCATAATTATATGCAAGTTTTAGAAGACAACGTGAAATTAATTCGGGATGGAAACGACTTAGGTGGTCTCTTGTAATTTTGATCACGGTGAGTGAGCTTAATTTTTTATATAGCACTGAACAGACACAGTCATAGAATAAAGGAATTCACAATCAAATTATTCCTTATGATTTCGATTCACAAAGAGATGTTACTGGATATGAGCAAGAAGTATATACCTTGAGGGGCACAAATTCATGTTGGAAGGGTCAAAGGTCGGTATCTCTGGCCACGTGTCATCCTCCAGCCCATCGAGGTCAACCCCAGCTAACATGAGACCACGTAAGCTATCCACGCTTTCCTCCAGAGCCTCCTCGTCGCTCAAGATATCCTCGTACCCCTGTCCCACGCTGTCTGTGTCATCATTGTCTTGAGATCGCTGTATCTCTCCTGTATAAATTGATAAACGTCATAAAATGCAAGTAAATTCAAAGAAACTTTTTGAATGGATGGTCATCTACAGTGTTATAGCTACGGTGGTCGGCACTGGGCGGGCCCGACCAGCACAGAGGATTTCCGCCCACCACTCCTGATGAAAAACACTGCTTCCGACCGGCATAATAGTTCTGTAAAATATATTTATTACAATTTAATCATGCAAGTTTTATTTGATATTTGAAGATTATTTTAAGTATTATGGTCAATGTCCGTGCGTTGTTAGATAACTTTTAGCGAGCACTCAACGTATGCGTACATGATATTTCACTTTGTGTGCACTATACCTACACTGCAAATGTTCATGCAGACTTCCTATGACTGTGCTATGTACGATTATTATGGTATTACGCGCGGTACCCCGAAACGGCTCCGATGTACACATCCCAGTTTCCTTCGGGAGATTATGGAGGTGTCCGTGTGCTGCCCTCTATATACTAAGCTTGAACATCTTTAATTTCATATTTTCATTAATTATGACTATAGAGTTTTTTATAAATATAGAAAACTAATTTTAGCATTTTCCTACGTATACTCGTCAGTAAATATTTTTTGCAAAAACATACAGAATATGGCAGAGGCAATATTTATTTCTGATACAAGTAGATAGTCTAGGTACATTACGTCAATTGTTCTTCTTTTATTTTTCACATATTTAAGTAACATACAGACCTTCTACGATGGCTTCTGGATCTGACGAGGATATCTTCTTCTCTGTGATGGCCCCTCCTCTGGTGAGAGAGGTTCAAATATGTCTGCCTCCTCTCTCCTAATTCCTCCTTCATCTTCATCATCATCACCTGGCCCTTCTACAGACCTTTCCACCTTGTTACCTTCCTCTCTTACTCCTCCTTCCATGTAGTCAGAGGAGGAGTGATCAGGTTCTCCAGGAGGAGTCCTGGGTCCCCGGTGACCCCTCTCAACCCTCTCTCCTTCCCACTCCTCCTCGTATCCAGGCTCCCAGGTATCAGTCGTCTCCCATCCGTCGCCTCCGTCTCCATGCTCCGGGACGGGCACAGCTCCATCCGCCGGCGGTATCTCCCAGGGATCTGTCCTTTGCTGCCAGTCTCCCCTTCCCTTGCCCTCATCCCTTGGCCACATGTGTCCTTCTCTCTCATCGCTCGGTGAAGGATCCTCCCACGTCTCGGCTCCACCCGATGCTGGGTGGGGTGGCGATGGAGTCCTAGGCCCCTTCTTAGGTGGGAGGGGTTGGGGCATGGGGGTGGTGGTCGGTATGTGAACTGGCTCCGGTACAGGCTCAGAAGGAGGAGGAGGCTCGCTGTACCTGGATCTCTTAGCTTCCTGCTCATGGCTCCAGGAGTCCCATTCTCCTGGTTTAGATTGATCGGGAGCTGGGTGGGGCTGGGGTGGTTCAGGAGAGATGACAGCCTCAACTGAGAGATGTAAAGAAGGGACATAAAACACCAAAAAATGTTTCCTATATCAACATTTCTTACATCAAATTAGATGCAGATAGATAAGACTGCATAAACAAGATGACTTAATATATGAGTGATTACTAATTACCCCAAAATTTTAACTATGTGACCAAAACATCGAAAAAAAATTTCCAAACAAATTATGTATCCATGAACAATGTCTAAAATTAAGGAAATCAACAGAATTTTAATTCCACTCAGTACTCATGACTCACAATGACTAACCATAAACCTGACCAACAAGCAAACATGCACATGTATTTCCATCATTCACAATTGTATATAATTTAGGAAAAGGTTCTTCGAGAAACAGTTTCCAAATAAGTAAACAGTTACCCTAAAAAAAAATCATCAACACTGCCTGTTTCAGAAACATGTACGGATATAAGATTACAAAGTCTAAAAAGCAGTTATGGCGAATTGACTTACTTGGTCGTTTACTTGGTTGAGGCACCTGCTTGGGTGGTGGAGGTGGTGGTGGGGGAGGGGGAGAAGGGGACCTCTCTGGTTCTTTACCCCTAGAGGCTAGCATACCCAAGACCATGAGAGTAAGCCGTCCATACCGTCCTCTTACCACCATGCTCTCAGTGGCAACCTGGGGTTTAAATAATGTATGTTCCATGAATGAAACCAATAAATGTAATTTAAATAAAATTAAAAATAATACTTAAAAAATGAAACTGAACACAGAAAGTATATTTTCAATTACTTTCAAAATTTAGTTTTTCTCAAACATTTAGTTTCCAGAAATGTATGAGATTCACTCATCAGGTGCAGAATGAAAATGTAAGAATAAAGACATAATGTTAGTCTATTTTCAATTTTATATTTTTCTAAATTGCAGAAATAATATCACTGTTAGCAATATAGACAATGTAGAGATTGAAATATGGTGGTCAGATGTACAATGTAGTCAAGGAGCACAAACTTCAAATGTCTGAGCACCCATTCACAGAATTGCCCGGCCAATATTTACCCATTGCCCGCTGGAACTGGGTGGCTCCTGTATTGAACATATGGGCAATACAACAATTCAGTAGTCAATGGGTTAAAGACACACAGACTTTACCTGATTTTTAAGAATGATTTGTATGTCACTGCCCTCCTTGTATTCCAAAGTGCCAAGCCTCTCAAAAATGGCACTGGAACTCGTCATCTTGTGGACAAAGGTTTCCAGCTTGAAGCTATGAGGACTGGTTTGCCTGAAAAGGGAATATATACATTAATGATGCGTAGTAGTGGGCTGTCATTGGGAATTCTACACCATTTGGGTGTTTATCTAATAACAAGTGTTGTCAATTACCATGATTAGCCTTCAGTATTTTTACCAACAGGCCTTATGTAAATGTCCTATGTGGTAAAGTCATTACAGTTCCCTCACCCAGAGACTCTCCGAGAGACTAGGGGGGTATTTCTTGATGGGACCACGGGTTTGCGATGTGCAAGATTTGTACACCCATTAATGGCAATTCCACCAAGTCTGGCATCAGCGATTTCTGACCTACTGCACATGGAAACTGCCTACTATCTTCCTTTAATCCTGTACTAATTTCTAATCCTTTATGCTAAAACCAAGACAGAATAACTGGCTGGAAGCTGAACCCCTTTTTTGCCGTGAGCGACAAATCTTGCCACTTCAGAGCCGTTACTTTGTCCTGAAGTAGAAATAGGTCGATATAGTCTGAAGGTTGTTTCCAGAGAGAGCAAACATTTAATCCCAATTCAGACAACAAAGATATAAGGTCAAATATTTACTAAAGAACGTTCAGGTTAGATAGTTGTCTGCTATCCTAATGCCACAGAAGGGATTATAAGCACTGTTATTATTATTATTATTATTATTATTAAAGAGGAAGGTGAATAGTTGTTTGGCAGTAAGAATTCCTGAATTTCTGATGACCTACCACCTAACACACTCACTGGCATTGCATTATTTTAACTGCTGTCTCTTTTCACACATAAAAAAAAAAGCTATTGATCTAAATTCATATGATGATTATATGGTTAAGGTACATTCATTACAGTCTTTTTACATCTGAAGGAAAAGAGATTTCACAACAGTGATTACAAAGAATTCCTCTGTGGAAACGTGTTTCATGTCAAACTTGCTAATTCAACCCATCGATGAAGACAATGCATGGTGTACATTCCGGTAGGTTTGACAGGTGTACAATCAACTTACCCCATTCCAGATTCATCTCGAATGCTTGGATGGATACTGTATCCTCTGGGTATCACCCTCACTTCATGGATACATACAGGCATGGAGAACCGCACCAGATCCATGTTCACCTCCTACGATTAACAATAGAGGTTAAATCAAAGAACTTAATATAATTATAAAACAAATTAATTATTAGTTTATGTTACACCAGTTTAGCAATTTGTATGTACATGTACTATTTAGTACAGACTCAAGTTCGCTTGAGCTTTGCTTTGGACAAGTTGACATTAGTTAAAAATAGATGATTCACAAAACGGTATATAAACAAGATGCAACTATTCCAACTAAAGCTATCGGTCTAGCATACAGTCTTCATGCATTTTAGGTCCGAATAGTTAAAGGTACAGCAATAATCTGTCACTTCTCTTCCTATTTGACTTGCATTCTAAAGCCTTAACATTCTGTATTGATGAATTGTAAATAAACATTCCTACTTGTCAGCTTTCTGCTAATCCTCAGGCTGCAGGCTGCAGTTTTCCAGGATTATTTGGAGGAATTCAACAAAAGGAGATTGAACAATCCTGTAGTTATACATGTAAAAGGGTCTACCGGAATATGTCTTGGCTTTGCCAAAGGGTGAAGGCAAAGACATTTAATTATGTTTTCTCTGAGTCTGAGCTTTCCACAGTTAGGGCAGGGCGCTGGTCCGAGAACGAGGATCGTCCGCATAAATGAGGATATCCTCTTAAACGTGGACAAACAGTATCCTAAAACATGAAGATGATCCGCATTTTCGCAGACATTTTTTTTCTTCGGCGCTCTGCGAGTGTAGGGTTCCCGATCCGCATGCTGGCAATGCTGAAAATTGATTCCTCGTAATAAAATACCGGCCAGTTCACCTTCTACTTTTATGGGTTGTCCATCTCCCCAAGATTTATCATTCATAACTTGAAACTAGTCCCTGTGCAAATTGAATGGGAAAACATTAAGGAGCATCATTGCGGAATCCATTTTTCGCATCGCCAACACGCTGTTCGGAAATAAAAATCGTCCACGAAAACGCATAGTCTACAATCCTTAAATATTTCCTTAATTTTTAGGACACGTCTGTCCACTTTCACAGAGACGATCCTCGTTAATCATGTTAATGCGGACGACCCTTATTCTCGGACCAGCGCCCTCTACGAGCCCTACTGGCCTACTCTGTTCCATGGCTCAATTTTCATTTTCAAAAGGAATTCTCAGTCCAACTCCAACTTAGTCTAGAGTAAAGTAGCCCGTTTTCGGCCACTTAAGACAAAATCCTATTTTTAGGACTCTTTACTTCCTATTTATTATCATTTCTTGTTCAAATCATGAAGCAAATATTATTATTATTTACACAAAAAAGAATCCCAGAAAAAAATCACGAATTGCCATGACAATATCCATTTCATTTTCACTGTTTTGGAGCCCGTTATCGGCCGAGCGTTTCAGTTTACGGCCGCATGTACAAAGTCAATAGGAAGCGCTCGCGCGCGCCGTGCGTTTCCGCGCTGATGTACAGCACAAGCGGGCGGAGCAGGTATCCCACGCCGGAGCTCCCTGGTGCTCGCCTGGCCGAAGACGGGCACAGCGGTGATCGGAAGTTGGAATCTGAATTAGATAGAGATATCGTGTGTGCGTCGCGGTGTGCGGCTGCATTGATTTAATACATGCGATGACATACTTTTGAGCTTGCGACTAGCACAAAATCGGGCTTTAAATCTGAAAAATACTTGAAATAAAGCTCATTTTATGGTACCCATATTTCTTACAGACACGCGTAAGATACTCGATTTTTCAGATTTGGGTAGCGGGACCGGCGATTACATCGCTAAAATGTGATATTTTAGGATATATTTTCCATTGCAAATGTGGTTCTTCAGTGACACTGGCATGGTATGGTATGTGTGGGATATGTGTTATGCTATTATGCGATGTATTTTAGAGTGATTTTACCTTGTATCCAACCAATTGGCCGAAAACGGGAGCTGGCCGATTACGGGCTCCTTTACTCTAGACTTTTTTATCATTGAAACCCTCCAGTTTAAACACCTTTACGGCGTCTTTTGGAGGAATCCAACCAAGAATGAAAACAAAATGACCACAAATCGACTGCCAATTAGGAAGTTTATTCACTAATTGCATTTGGATGATTTTAGTGTTACAGTTAGCAAGTCACTCAAGGCATTTACTTAGTCTAGATATAACACAAAAATGAACATACGGGACTCACCTCACTCGTTTCATGGGTTAGCGTGTCAAAGAAAAGGACCTCCATACTGCAAATGATTGCACCTCGATGAAGGTCCGGTATTTAAAAATTCGTTCTATATTTTCACAAGATCAATGTAAGGACCTTATGGGCTTTCAAAAATGAAGTAAAACAACAGAATTATGCGACTAGACCTTGCCTACATCCTAATTTTTTCGGTTCTCTATCTATGTCTGGCAACAAAATGAAGGATTAAAGTGTCTTCAATGATGCAAATAAAAAATGAGAAAAAAATGCGCTATATATGTGAGTCTAGTCACGATTAGAGCAAGTGCATGGATTGAAAACTCCGTTGTTCTTTCATTTTTAGTGCCTCAGGACCAGGGATCAAAATATCTGAGCTTACGGTGATCTATTTATTTTAGTAAGGAAACAATTTTTTGAGGACCTAGGCGTGAGTCACGGATGGGGTGGATCACCATTAAACCCCAAAGAGTTATTTTGGAAGAAGCTTGGGAATCAAAAATTGGATCTGATGGAGTGGAAGTTTTAAACCCTGACACAAATGAGTACCTAAAATGTGCTCGATCCCTTCCTTATGTAGCTGGAAATCTGTCAGGATCAAGGGATAATTGCCCCTCTTCCACTCCTTCATATTAATATTCTCGTAAATTTAGTGTTAGGGTTTGCGTTAGGAACGGTATAGTGTATCTGTCCAGGATTGAAGTTAGGAATTGTCGTGTAGAAGCAAGAATGTGTCATAAACCCCCCCCCCCCCCCCACTCTGAGAACGGACGGACCCCATGCGTGTTACCAAAATGTCCGGTAAAGGGGTACTTTTCGTGCGACAAAGTCCGGCCCAAGAATTGTAATAAAAGGGTGTATTAACTTTTCACCCGGAGATTTCTTTGAAAGAGGGGTGTTTTTTCTTTTTTTCTCTCATCTCTTTGGACTCCTGAGAAATTATTTAGAATTTAGGGGGATACATTGAGCATTTTTCATGATTTAGGGGGGTCTCCAAGGCAGAAAAAGCCCACGAAAAGCCAGCGAAAGGGAACAAGCATATGCGTTCCCTAAATAACACTGAATGGGGGGGGGGGATAAAACCGGCCTTAAAAGGCATATAATAATATTGATAATAAATTAAAATTAATATGTTTTTTTTTTACCCAGGGTAGCCTCATCAGTATTCATTCATACTGATGGCATTGTAATTATATGCAGTGGCGGATCTAGGCCCCCTCCCCTGGGAAAAAAACAGGTAAAAACATGTTAATTTTACCTTTATATGTTTAAAAAAGAAGAAGACGGGACCACTCCCCTGGTGCTCAAAGGGGTGTGCGATTTTCAAATTTTCGGGGACAAAAAAAAATTAGTGCTCACCCCCCCCCCCCCCCCTCCCAAAGAGGGATTTACTTGCCGCTTATATAGTGACATGGGCATCAGTGGCATGGATCCAAGCTGGCATACATCCTCCCTGTTTCACAGTCGATCCCCCCCCCCCTAGTTTATCAATTTCTTGATACTATGTTGGGTGCTTTGGTAAAAGCCCAAACATGATATAGCAGCATTAAGAAATAAAACTGGAGGATTATTTCCTTGTAAAATAATCAAATATTTTTAAATAAAAATATAAACTTAAATCCTTTAATAAAAAACACTTTGGCCTTTGGCACTTTCAAGTTACTTCCTAATTGATGAATTGAATTATTTTTTACTTATTTGTAATAATGACAGCAATTGTACATATCGTAGGGTAAATTTAACAAAATAAATTTTATTTACACTTAATGATGCAATAATACACGACAAAAATAATCAGTAAAAGTTTGTAAATGAATACATAAGCCTATTATACATATTATATATATATAGCTTGAAAGACAAGGAAACAAAATAATGATTGGCAACCCGATATTTCATTGGATTAAAGTGATTGCTCTAATTCTATGTTGTTTTTTCTTCAAGTAATTTACTTTTGCTTTAAAGCCACGAAATGGAATGTACAGCATCTTATTATGGATTCAGCCATGAGGGGGGGGGGCACAGACAGTATTGGGAGCATCTTTCTTTCATGATGATATTCGACCATGAGAACGTCATCGATCAGGGGAGGATGCAAGGTGCTATCATTTTCTTTTATCTTTTTTCATTTGTCAATTATCCACAAGCAAACCAGAATATAAATAGTACTGTTGGTAAAACAATAGATGAATGGATACCTTCAAAAGCGCAAGGCTTGTGAAATAATCAGTTTTTGTTCGTAAATGAATACATAAGCCTCTTATACATAATCTTATTATACAGCAGAAGGCAATAGAAGGCACTTGAAGATATATTATAATAATCCAAACGAAACAGAATTAGAAACAGTCAAAGGGCCGGGAATACAAATCAACTGCACTTTCAGACATCCTATCCCGACCGGAGTTTCATTAACAATTGATTTCTTTCTCTTTTTGTTTCTTAAAATGAAATGATTAACTGCAAAACAGCAAGAATGAGATATACATTTCATTTACGTTATGAAACGTTGTTACCATGTATCGTTTTCTTAGACTCTACATATACGTATACCCTGTATAATCAATTAATTGTCACCAGAAAGATGGTGCTAGTTATTCACTGCTCTACCAAATTTCAAATGATAACATGTTGTATACATTAGGTACTCATAGCAGTGTTAGTTAATTCGCACACTGTCCCATTATCTTGAATCATGACAGCTGCTAATATGATAGTTCACATAAAGCCACCAGATCACTCTGTATCGTTTTAGTTTTTATGAGCTTCATTTCAAACCGTGTCACACAAAGAATTATGTAGGCTAACATATTATCCAAAATATAGTAATAATATTAACGAGTATTCGTTTGTGCCACGTCTATTATTGCTGTGTTATATCTTTCTAAATTTACCATGAAATTTTATTTTAACTGTTCTGTATAAACGTTATGCTTTTTATGTAAATGGAAGAACACTACTTATTGGTAAATGGGGCAGGGCTACCCTGACAAAAGATTAGCGCCACTTTTTTTATTATACATAAATATTTTTCATTATCTCCGCATTTTTTATATATCGCAACGCCAGATACAACTTAGTATTGTGAGGTAGAGGAGGATTAAAGCAAATTTACTTGCTAAACTGCAACCCTAGTTCTAACACCAAATCTTTTTCTCTAAACAGGTGAATCTTTGAAGAGAATTTATATCACAGAATTGATGACCACATGGAGATTAAAATATCCACTCATTTAAAACGATGCGATGAATTGCAACTCAAACAATTACTGAATTTTCATCAATATACATCGTTTTTCTTGTCGTCCTTCTTCTTCTTCTCCTTCGTCTTCCTGAGTCCCTACATGAATCCCGTCCGGTTCAAGACGGTGGATTTGACCTTGGCGTAATAACAACATTGCTCCTATATATAGCCAGAACGTGGTTCCAACTTGCTGCTACCGTTGTATAAAGAATACAAGATCATGTTGAGATGCTTTATTTTTTATATTGGTAGTTGTTTTGCAAATAATAGGGACGATTGCAGCACTTGTCCTCTCATAAACCTCGCTATTTGCCATTAAGTACTGTGACGTAGATAGGAGGCGCGATAGCTCAGTTGGTAGAGCAGTGGTCTCGTAATCCGGTGACCCGATGCGCTAGTGCCCTTTGGTATGGCATTAATCCTCATTACCAGGTCTTTCGGAGAGGACCTAAAGCCGTCGGGCGTCTGGTTGCTTACTCTTAGCAGTCAGGTAAGATAACCACCAACCACCAGATAGCTGGCATTTGACCCTAAGAAGCAACTGATGGAGAATACATTCATGTCCACAAATAAGACTATCCATGGAACTTAAACCCTCATCCCTGGTGAAACTGTCGGAGAATTTTGAGGTTGATCTGTAATGATTTAAGATAGAAAAGATTAAGCTTTATTAGATATGAATAAGACACATGAAAAAGAGGCATGTCAACCAGGAGCGGATCTAGGGGTGGTTTCGACGGTTTAACCCCCCCCCCCCCCTTGGGCGGCCATGTGAAAAAAGGGGGAAAAGGGGAAAAGAAGAAGAAGAAAAAAGTAAAATCAGTAAAACGGCGCAATTTTTGGAAAATCCTGGATCCGCCACTGGGTCAAACCCCCCCCCCCCCCCTCCCATTGGCAAAAAGCTAGATCCGCCCCTGTCAACATGTTACATTTAGTGTAATCCCGGTTTATTTCTTGTTTGTTTGCTAAAAGTGATACATTCTTAACCTAACAATTAAAGTTTAATGTTGTGTTCTGCTGGGAATTTTAATTCATATTGTGAATCATGTAGCCATGCCAGGGGCGGATCCAGGAGGGGGCCCAATTCGTGAGAAAATATTTAGCGGCGAAACAGCCGGCCGATAATTCGCTCAGTGGGGGAGGGGGGGGGGTAGGTAGTGAGCACTAATTTGTTTTTGTTTTGCTCCCGAAAATTTGATAATTGCGCCGGCCGATAACTCGCTCAGTGGGGGGGGGGGGGGGGGGGGGGGGGGTAGTGAGCACTAATTATTTTGGGGGGCCCTCGAAAATGTGAATAAATGAATACTGATAAGGCTACCCTGGGTAAAAATTAAAACAAAAAATGGTATTTATTATTATTATTATATGCCTTTTTAGGCCGATTTTATGACACATTCTTGCTTCTACACGACAATTCCTAACTATGGTCTGGGTAGTCTATACTAATAATAATACTCTCATGGACGCAACAATAAAGCTTTATGTAAAATAAGGTGGGAAGACTATATTATTGCGTCTTCCAATATAACGGGTTTCACATGAGGTTTATTTATGGAGTTTCGTTTTTCTAAATATTATTTAAAATGGAAGTAGAGATTAAGGGAGGAAATTAAAGAATGGAGAAATTATTAGAAAACCCCAAATGCTATGTGAAACAACTGTAAAGTAAAATTACAGTAACACGGCATGTTCATCAAATGAAATTAGGGGCAGTATACACTTGCAAAGAAAAACACTGCCCAATCCGACTTTGCACCAATCTCAGTTTGAAACTAGAAAGACAAAGATGCTATCGTAAATCGCCGAAACATTATTATAATCCTTCAAGCTCTTGATCAGGTAATTGCAAAAAAAATCAAGGCACGTTGAAAAGCAGTGCGTATACGAATTGATAAACAAAAATTAATTACTGAACATCTCTTGTCAGTTCATAGCCAGATATTTGTATATACCAGCTTATCACATTTCTATTTTCAACTAACTAATCTTACTACGTACATGAGATGAGCTCACACTGCCGAGACAAATATGAGCAAAATCTTTTCCCTTGTGTTCCACATCGATGTCATTAATCTGTAACAATTGGTCACCAGCATTCAAGTACGTCGACAGCTTGGTACGCTCAATTCTGTAGCGAAAAAGAGAAACCAGTGAAATAAAAATGTTTTAATGTTTTAATGTTTTAAATGGTTTCATGAGGTCAGCAGTTGCACTTTCCTAATTAGCATTCATAGAGAAAATTACATAATAATATAGTCCTTTAAGCGAAGGAATTAAATTGCAACAAACTACTTACCATTTTCCAGGGGCGGATCCAGGGGCCCGGTCCCCCTTCCCTGGCCACAAAAATAGGGGGGGTTGTGGAGTTAAAAAAAAGAGCTCCATACCCCCCCCACCCCCCCCCCCCCCCCCCCGTTGAGCTTAAAAAAATATTTCAAAAAGTATTCACTAAGTTCTTTCAACCATGTTAAGTCATCTTGCTCTGACCGCTATCTTTATCTGTTATATAGTTAAAATAATACATACTCATCATTACAGTATATATGCTTACACGACTGCTCCATCTTTGTCAGTTAGGCAAACATCTCCAACCTTAAACTCCCGGCTAGGAATCTTCACGTTCTTCTCCACTTCGAACGATGATACCGATCCGTCTCTGAGATGATTAGATCAGAGATGACATAACATTTCAATTCTTACAAATTTGAATTCAATTTAATGTTGTTATTGTTAATAGAATTTAAAACAAAATTTGATTAACATGTTAAAATTTATCTAATAAATTTTCGGATTTAGTTTGTTTGCTATTTTGTACATCATTATGATGTGTCTGTCTCTATTTGACTTCCTTTTCTCCCCCCCCCCCTCCCCCTTCTCTCTCTCTCTCTCCCTCTTCTCTCTCTCTTTCTCTCTATTCCTCGATACTTCAATATTTATCCTGGCCCTCTTATTGAAAAGATGAAATGCGCGAAAAAAAGTTATGTCATTTATATTTTCTTATCAATTGATCAAAATTTTGATTCTCAACATTCGTTCAGAAAATGAAAAAGAGCAATATGTACCTTCTGCGGATAGTTCTGACTTTCTCTTTGGTATCACAGTTTGCCTCAAGCTCTCTTCCATCCTGATCAAGGGGGTACTCATTAGCATCTATATCTATAAAAAAAATTAAAATTTTTTATGAAAGGCTCTAATAAAGCTTACGAGTCAGGCCCGTGGAACCTAGAGGCTCTGGGGTTCGAGTTAACGCACCCCCCCCCCCCCAACAAAAAAGGGGAAATCCATTTGATTTTCCTCTTTTAGTAGTCGTAAAGGGTCCTCAAAAACGCGAGAATTGTTTTGTTTCTTTTTTTGCTTTTCAGATAATTTGGGAGTGAAAAGATAGTAAAATTCGGTATCACATAGCCTCTCTCTCCAAACGTGCCTACTTGTGTACATGAATATGGTCAAAAAATAATCATCCATGCATACAAGTTAATGATTTTAATCTGAGGTAACATTTTTTAGTCCATTTTTTGTTAAATTAATCTCATAAATCATCGGTGATATCCTCTACATTGTTCAATCTATGACTAATGCTAGATTATCATTATCATTACTATTAATATCATTATTACTTTCATTTATAATTGTTATTACTATCATCATTAATAATAATGTTATTATCATCATCATTATTATTATCAACATTATTATTATTACGAAACAACCAGGGAAAACAATTAATATTTAAGTTTTCTCACATATATCCTCCCCGGCCGTCGGTTGTGGTATTACTTGTGCCGTTGGTTTGGTATGTTTCGGGGGTGGCATTGGGGGTCGGATTTTTCCATTTGCTTTATTGCTTCCAGAGACAGACATCCTTTCCAGAACCTACCAAGGTAAAAATATGAAGTGAAACTTTACAGATTTACCGTTTTCTTCATTAACTAGTCAACAAATATAAAATGTCCAGGTGTTTTACATTACCTCACGTATCTAGAAAAAGATTTATGTATTATTCTGTTCTGCAAAACACACCCACACTGACGCCCTAATTTTATTCGTAATTTCTCTCTTCTTCTTCTTCTTCTTCTTCTTCTTCTTCTTCTTCTTCTTCTTTATCATCTTCTTCTTCTTCTTCTTCTTCTTTTTCTTCTTCTTATCATTATTATCATTATTATTATTATTATCATTATTATTAATATTATTATTATTATCATTACTATTATTGTTATTATTATCATTATCTTTTTATACTCATTATTATCATTAATGTTATTATCATCTTTATCATTATTATAATTATCTTTATTATAAACATCATTATTATCATCATTGTCATTACTATAACTATTTTTACTGACATTATTATTGTTATTCATTTATTAAATCATTAATTCATATATTCATTAACTAATCTACTCATATATTCTTTCCTAACCATTATCTATCTTTAATTACATATATTTTGTATCTTTGTGATTTATTTATTTCATTGTTATTAGGTTTTGTTATTGTTATTCTAGTAACCTGATATGGTAGATCATAGCTAGGCAAAGGATGTTCCCGTCCGTGTATATGATGACCATTCTCATTGCTACTCAAACTTCCCGGGCGACTGATGATGCTCTCGTCGTCGCTTTGCAAATATCCAGGCCCAGGGATGATGACTCTACTGTCATTTCTTGCTGCTGGTCCGAGGTTTGGCTTCTGTTTTGGCAATGCCGCCATCTTCCCCGCCAGACAATCTGCTTTAACGGACAGCTTACATCCAGTACCATTCTGTAGAAACAAGTATAGGCTTTCTAATAATGCCTTTACTCCCTCAACTCTTTTCATTCACAATGACATTATGTTGATGAAATACATGTTTATATTTATATATAGTCGTACTTATATAAGTGTGTGCGTGCGCGCGTGTGAGTGCTTTATGTTTATAAATTGCGTACATCCATACACTCAGCAAATAAAAGATAGAGGACATTCTTTATTGTTCAAAATTTGCATATAATCCGTCAATAAATATAGTAAAATATAATAAAAATATATATCAAATCAAGATAAACATTTATACTCTACCAGCACCAATAAAGATCAATTTTTGAACTTCACTTGGATGAGCACATTCACTTTAACTGTCTGATTAAACAAATTGCAAAAAAAGAGCAAGCAACCATTCAAATATGAATGAACATATGAATCTGAAGGTATTCGTGTTCAACAATGAAAACAAAGAATATCTCGAGAAATAATGGGGAATATTTAGCTCTAAACATCAATTGTAGTCTCAGGACCGAATGGTTTTGACAATCACAGTGAAGATGTCTCTCCCTTTTTCGCTTTTTGCTCCTCGTGAATGTTCTCTTATTTTCATTGTTTTAGTTTTGACTCAACAAGATGAAATACTCATCAATATTTTAAAGGCCAGATGCCCCATTTTTGCAATTTTCTTTCACAGACTCATTTATTGTTAAATGGATATGCTCAATGATGCGTAAATTGTATGATTCCAATTGATTATCATTTTTAAGGAGGATTAATATATAATGGTAGACAAGTTCATATTAAATATGTATTTGAAAATCTTTAGTATAAAATTAATGTAAACTTTTTTTTTTGCTGACTGTAAATACATAAAATAGAAGAAAATATGATTTATCACCAGATGTTGCCTTCTAAAGTCTTGTTTCATCGTACCCAACCTCCATCCAACATATACGCACAAACATACGCCCTCACACACATTCACACACACGCACGCACACATGGCCTCATTTTACCGTGTGATTTTCATCTTAACCGTTTAATTTTCTTTTAGCTATAGCCATTCGAATGAAACCTTATCATAACAAATATCCTCAACACATGGCACATAAATAAATAAATATCGATCTGTTGCTATTGCTTCCCTGTCGACTATCAACCATTTCTTTTCAGACTTTCTTTTTAAATAAATATTTGACTTCATTGTCATTTCCATTGTTACTCGATCCAATTCAAAGCATCTTTGTTCAAAGCGATCTCATGGAACGATAGACAAGAAATGAACTTTGACCAAAACACATGAAATGTCCATATACACTCGATAATACACTTATTGGATTTACCTGTGGTTTTGGATTTGGAAGAGGTGCTTTAGCGTGCCGATGTTCCTTTTTGGGAGGTAGCAGGGCTTTTTTCTTGATTGCCAATCCCGATGGCTCTTGTGTTTGATCCACCTTTGAGGTCAGTGGACGGGGTTGGCTAGGTAAGATTTCATTTACATCTTCATAGTCTTCAAGGTCGTCATCCTTCATAAATGAAACAAGTCTCACTGTGTTTAATAAGCGGAATAATGTTCATTTTTTATTTCGCTGTAACATGTATTGCCCTATTATTTGCCATGTACAGCACTTATCAAAAGATACATGACAAGCATTGTCTATAAATCTATAAATTTGCAAGACTATTTGTAAATCAGATACGAACTGAGCATGGAAAGGTATTAATCAAACTAAAGTTACAGGGTGAAAAAGTTTATGTGATATGTGGAAAAAAAACCAGAATGATTAATGCAATTCACACATAGATACTGTCATTGAGTTTGATGATATCTTTGAATTTGTCTCCGATATCGTTTTGAAGGCGTTTTATTCAGTGTTTTCGTAGACAGGGAGGTTATATTATATAGAATCTAATCACTGTCCTACTGATTGATATTTTAAATAATGATGAGAACATTAACAACCGGAATAGTTATTGCATTTAACTCTTCAAGTCAGAATAAAAGCAAAATCGGCTTCAAATCTATATACAATCGCATTATTATACTGGCCTGACGTCACTGAGGATTCTGAGCCGATTCAGCTTTTTGTCCCTCCAGGGAGCTTGAAATCCCTTGAATTTCAGATTTTATTAATCATATGACTATTTAGATCCTTAATCATTCAATTTTACATGTTTAAATGCTCACATAAAATAACACTTTAAGTTCTTCCAAATAGTGAGGTCGTGTATATCGTGCGTCGGGCTTTATTCTCTCGTATTTAACCCTCAGTGGATGCAATAGACGGGTTTACTAACTTATTCAAACTTTATGCATACTTTTTAAACAAAGGTTGTTCTTGACAACCTGAAATCTCGCCTGACATAGCAACGAGTCATGTATGCGGACTGGATTCCAAGTACTGTAGTCAATTATTGATAGCAGGTTATTGGAATAACTAGTCACTGAGTATCCAGAAAAGAAACCACCATAAATTTGAATACGTTAGTAAAGCGGTCTATTATTATCAAACAAATTTGCATTTAATGCCCGTGACTTTATAAAAGCTTAATAACTTTCTTAGTATTTGCCCTATACTACCTGACGTGATGGTTCAGATAAAGTTGAGTTGTAGTCATAGCATTGCATTGAAAAGGTTGATTATATAGCATATAAGTATTGGTGTGTACTGCAAGGTTCTGGAATCATCAAAATGGCAAAAAATTTGGCCCAGTCTTGGTAAAAGTAACAAGCCCTGTACACAGAAAGATGTATATGGGACTACACAAACATGTGGCATAAAAATGTGGTCCACATTTTTAAAGCTGTTACATGTCATATTTAGAATATGAAGGCATTTGAAGAGCCATGCTTTTCAGGGAACATTTTTTGTCTCATGTTTTTCCACACCTGCACAAAAACAATTAAAACGATCACAAATTATTTTTCACCTCTCCATAGAAATCAACCTTCTCTGATTTGTATGGAAATACACATTTAATTCACTTTCTAGTGCACTATATCTGTAACAATGACTTTCTAAGATGATCAAAATATATCTTGTGGTTTTAGAGTAGCCAACTAGCTCGCATCAGATAATTCTACATTCATATTTACCTATTTACCAATGAAAGAATATTCAAAATTCATGTTATGTCCTTTCCATCACTGATATCAGGCATCAGCATGACATGATTAGCTTCGCAAATGCAGTATCTAATAAATATATTTTTAATTGAACTGAAATCTAAGTTTCACAAACTTCGATACAATTCTTTTAAAGTGACTGAAATAAATTAGTCTCGTAACAAACTGTTCATTCACCTGTGAAGAGATGTCATTATTCGGTGGTCAGATTGCGATTTACATTGTATTTTGCTACATCGGACAATCCTCTTTCTAAGCACTGTAACACACACATGCAAAAATGTTGAATTCGTTTGTTGTTTAACCATGGTTCTATCTTACTTGACAAGAAAAAAAAAAGTTATGTAAAGTAGTTATGTAAAGTCTTCGACTTACCCTGTTAACATTTTCTTCCTCTTTTTTCAGGGCTTGGTAGTGTCCCTCTCTCTCTTGCATTTTCTAGAAACAGAAATTGTCAGAAGGTTGGTTTAAAAATAAAACAGAGAGAAAAGGAAACAGGAATGTTAAATTAATTGGCACGTACATCCACTTTTCAAAGAGTACATTTTCTTTATTTTAAATCGATACAAATAAAATTGTATATGACCTACTAAATTGGCGCTACATTGTATAGTGACGGGTGGTAAATTTGGGGCAATGAATGTTTTTTTCGGGACAATGTGAAAATCTAAACATAAAAATTTCACTGTAATTGAGCTGACTGGAGATCAACTTGGAGTAGAGAATTTGAAAGGGGGTGCAGCCCAGTGCCCCCTTTTCTTACTCCTCTAAAACCCTATGAATGTGTTAATTGATGATTAGTAGGGCTAACAAAAAAGTATCGTTTGTAATGATGCTATTTTATATCTTTGCATTCTTCTTCAGCCCATTGTTCTTACCGTGAAAACTCATTCAGTATGCATTGATATACGCCATGAGTCCATGAGGGTGGGTGTAAAATCCACCAAACCCCAACCAAAATAGACCACGTTCTTCGTTTTGACATTACTCTGTGAATGCCGCTTTGTGAGCTGATATCACTTTGAAAGTAAAATCAACGTGGGCGTCTGGCATGTTGCAATGCCCTTCAAACATTCCCATCGGGAAAGAATCTTTATCATTTTTTTATCAAACGTAGTCATATATAGCATATGACGTCATTAATTAACTATACGACTTTAATCTTTTCGCTTAATATCCCGGCTTTTATGGCCGAGACACTGTGCTAAAACATTTAAGGAACCAATTTACCTCACCCGGGTGGAGAGAGGCAATTTCGATTAGTGTCTTGCCAAAGGACATAAGTGTGGTCGCAGGACATTAGGACTCGAACCGCGAACCACGCATGTGACGTTTTATAGTGTAACAATAGATTTTGATTAACCCGGGGATTGGAACTAACATGATACCCGTCCCGGCTAAGGAAAAAAAGGTATATGTATAGTACTGCGAAAAGTCCCAAAATCAATCAGTGAGTTACTTTTAGAAAATCCATTGAACCTTAAAAATACGTCATCATTGTTGATATCACGGGGGTTTTTCAGTTATCAAAAGGTGTGATAACACATTACGGTGCAAAGAAAAAAAGTACCTTAGGCCCTACGTAACGATTTCATTTCTTTCCTCACAAATTCACTAACTCAAGATGATGTGTGCTATTATACTTTAATCAATTTGTGAAGTAGTGTATAAAGCAAACCGTAAATACACAGGGGTTATCAAAATGAGCGAGGTTGGGCTACCCCTAGGTACAGACATCTCATTAACAAATAACAAGTTCACGAGATATCGAAAACACATAAAACTGATCGCACACGCACAAAACCTAATCTCATATTTGGCGGATATTTCGGTGTTTTCATAGTCTGGTAAACTGGTGGTAATGTTCAGACGAAAAATACTAAAAGCAGATTTCACACAAATCCGAATCTTTAGTGTAGCGAATTTCAGTAATTTAACGTAGTCTGGTAAACCGTTAGTAATTTTGAGAAGACAGATATAATGATGTATCTGTCTTCTCATACATCAGACCGAATTCGGATCCGCCGCCCCCAAAATGTATAAAGTCCTGCACTTTATCTCCCAAATCCAAGCAACGGATCTACGCTTAAAAAGTTAATCACTCAAGCTATTGAACGTCAAGGTGTCGCAATACCGTGCAAAAAAAGTACCTCTACATGATTTGTTTTCTACGCTTAAAAAGTTATTCACTGAACCGTGACAAACAGTTATGATCATTTTGTAATGGCCTTCATTCAGCTATTGAACGTCAAGATGTCGCAATACCGTGCAAAAAAGTACCTCTACACGATTTGTTTTTGTTTCTGTTAATTTTCAACATATGAGTGCTTACCCTTATATCGTGATGATCCGAATAAGCAACACGTTGTTCCTCAAGACCGGGGTTGAAATGTGAGTTTTCATAGGTGGGAGAATCTACATGTATGATCAAGGTTATAAAAGTAGTGAGAAAGGATTTTCAACAAGTTTAATGTTAAAAAGTATCAGTCATCATATAGAAGGGAAAACAAATATTAAAGAATTCCAAGATGCGGCATTGCCTATGATAAGGCAAAATCATATATTTATCCATTCAACCAATTGCGAAAAGCCACGAAATTAGATGACATAATATACTGATTACTATATTAAGGATTAGTCTAACTTATTAGTGAATAATATACAAATAATACACAGCAGTGAGTGCTTTAGTAATAATTACCCACACACGGTACCTTTGGAACAGTCTAACACGTCCGAGGCGATAGCCGAGGGTGTTTTGACTGTTTTGAGGTAACCAAGTGTGGTCATTTTACTAATGCCCGAACAAAATGACGTGTATTATTTGTTTTATAAAATTAAGTTTGATTTGTTTTATAAAATGTGTTATAACATGATTTTACAAATGACCGGTTATTAGCATTTGATAATGACCGGTCATTATCACAATTACGTGTTAGGCAAAATAAATGCCTGGTCACATGTACGCTCTCAACAAATCATTGGATTATGATCCACGTCATCATATTATCATATGTATTATCTGCGGTCATGATATGTAGAGTATAGCTTTTGTCAATTTGTTTAAACATTGTAATTTATAGGTTTTGAGGTCTTACCGTCAACTAGAGAAACGGGTTCCAATTTTCTATCCTGATTGTAGAAATAGAAAAGAAAAAACTACAATAAGATTTGTTACGGTTTTATCATGAAACGTGGATATGATGAAAAGAAATTTCCGACCTAGGATTAATAACTTCATTTGATGAAATCTATTACTAAGCAAAAGCCTGTTCTTTCTTATTACATTTCAATATCCAGAAATGCAATCTGGTGAGCACTAATTTATCATTATACCTGTAATAAGTCAAACATAATAATAAGAAATAACATTAATAATGATATTAATATTAATAATGATAATAACATCAATATCAATAATGATAAC